GAGCACATTCATTACAGTACTCATGGTATTGCTTGGCAAACGTCTTGCGGTGGTCCACCGAATGTACCGTGTAACGAGGGGCTTTCGGTGCAGCGAATCCACTGAGCAGAGGGACCATTTGCTGGCGGCTCGAGTAGGCACTCCTCCCCGAATCCACTCCCGTAGTCGATTGAGGCCAACTTCCAGGTGGTGCAACCCCAGGAACTTTGACATCTCCAACACGATTTGCATCGCTCCGGCCACGACTCATCTCAATCTTAAGAGACTGAGTCCACGCCATGCCCTCGCGTTCCATCGCAGCTTCACGCTCCCGGTCACGGCGCAATAATTCGGCAACTTGAGATTCCAACTGCCGAAATACTTCGAGGGCCTTTGGGGCCTCATCAGCAGCGATTTGTTGCTCTGTGTGGTAATGCTGCAACTGTACCTCAGCCTGTGCCACCCGCATCGCTTGCTCTTCTCCGGCTTGTCTAGCCCCTTGAGCTCTTCTTGCAGCGCAAGTCCAGCGCTTTGCATTGACTCGTTCTTGACAGACACCCGGGCCAACTCCGCAGCCTGGGCAATAATCTGTTCGTCCCGTCGTGCTCGTTCCAACGCAGCTAGAGCAGGATCATCCGCAATCTGCTGATAATGATGATGCACTTCTTGGGACTGGACCATCACTGGAAATGGACCAAGCGACGGTCGAGCTGCATGAAATGGGGCTGGAACCGGCACTCGGCTCAACAACCTCAACGGAGGATCTTCGGTTACCACGAGCCTGTCCTCCACGCCACTCATAGAGGACGTAGTCTCGTCTTCATAGACGAGGTCTTCAATCTCCTGGCGTCTTGCTTGGAGATCGATCCCGGGCTGTGCTTCGCCATCCCGGTAGTACCCTCCGTCAGGGAGCGTACGGTCAGAGAGCTGATCGCTGGAGCCTTCCATCGACCAGGAATATTTCAGCCGAGATAAACGACTAATAAATTTATTGATGTGTTCCGGCTCGCGCAGCGTCCGGCAACCACTGCTGAAGTCCGCGA